GGCCAAGCATTTTGTAGGCATTGGGAGATTAAAATGCATAAAACATGGTTCCCACCTTAAACAAAATATCAGCGTACAGTGGGGATGATAAGGCAAATACTCAGTAATATTGACTCATTGCTCTTGAGTAAATTCTGACCCACAGTGAGCCTCTGTACAGCAGAATAAAGCCCTGTCGGTCCCGGGTCATCCTCACAGTTGTTCCTGTGCTTCAGCTCCTTGCTGCAGTCCCTGTGCCAATCCGTCTGGTGGAGGGCCTGCCCCGCTCTTGCTGCCCCTCTGCTTTACCAAGCATGATAGCCTTTTCCAGGGACTGGAGATAGCCTTCCCTTCTACCAACATGTCCAAAGTACATGAAACAAAGTCTCCCCATTTTTGCCTCTAAGGAGCACTCTGGCTGTACTTCTTCCAAGAGTGATTGGTTTTTCCTTTCTGCAGTACTTTCAATATTCTTCTCCAGCACCACAATTCGAATGTATCAAGTTTTCTTTACCCAATGTCCAACATTCACATGCATATGGGGCAACACCAAATACCACGGCTCGTGTCAGGTGCACGTTAGTCCTCAAAGCAACATCCTTGTTTTTTGATACTCTAGAGATATCTTGTGCAGCAGATTCACCCAATGCAGCTTGTCTTTTGATCTCTTGACTGCTGCTTCCATTGGCATCGACTGTAGAGTCAAGCAAGACAACATCCTTGAAAACTTCAATCTTTTCTCCATTTATTTTGGGATCCAGCCCCACATCTGGAACATCCTAAGGGGGTGGTTGTGTAACTGAGGGGTCAATTAAGGAGACATGAGACAAGGCGTGCAAGGGCTCACCTCTTCTGATGGAGACTGGATCCAGAATGAGGGAGTAATATATTCTCTCAACAGTCATGTACTCTTGGGCATGCAAGCCACGGTAAACACACATGGAACAGGAAGGCATTGTATTAGTGTGTGGAACATGTAACATGAGGGGGATGACCTGAGGATGTACAGGAAATAGGAAGGGGAGGCACTAGCGGAGGCATACATGTGACAGGAAGGTACATACAAACAAGATGGGTGGGCTCAAGCGTTAAGGTGGTGGCCTAATTTTGGTTGTGTCTGAGCTGGCTTGACCTTGGGTGTCTCTGAACTCTTCTCCAGGGGAGTAATCTATGATCCTTATCAGAAAGGAGTGGGTCCTACTTAAGGTGGGACAGATAATAAGAACCGATTGCTCTGGATGAGACAACCTTCAGGCAAGTAGCCCTCAAACTGTTGACCTTCAAGCACACCTAGTAGCAACTATGTGCCTGCAAGTAACACCTTAAAATTGGCATTATTATGGGGGGACTGGAACACATCTCCAACCTATGAATGTGAAGGACTCCCCCCACAGGAGGCCCAGCCTCCCAGCCTCCTTAAAGTATGAATGTTGACTTTGTCCTCATACACTCTCTTCCCAGTTCTGCTTCCCGCAATTTATCACGTTACCGACTGATCCAGTTGTGAGGATGTTGGTCTTCTTTACATTGAGTTGCAATCTGAACTAAGGCTACAATCCTCGATCTTCATCAGCAAGTGTCTCAAGTCCTCCTCCCTTTCAGCAAGCAAGGTTGTTATCTGCATCCGGAAGATTGTTAGTAAGCCCTCTTCCAATCCTGGTGCCACACTCTTCCTCAGACAATCCAGCTTCTCTGAGGATTTGCTCAGCACACAGATTGAATAGGTATGGTGAGAGGATACAACCCTGACACACGCCTTTGCTTATTTTAAGCCAAACAGTATTCCCTTATTCTGTTCCTACAACTGCCTCTTGATCCATGTACACATTCTTCATGATCACAATGAAGTGCTCTGGAATTCCCATTCTTCTTAAGGTTCTGGGTAGTTTGCGATGATTCGCACAGTCAAATACCTTGGCACAGTCAATGAAACACAAGGAAACATTTTTTCCTGGAATGTTCTGCTTTGAGCCGAGATAGTCCTTGTTTCTTGTTCCACATCCTCTTCTGAATCTGGCCTCAAACTCTGGCATCTCCTGGTCGATGTATGGATAGAAGAGCCGTATGAAAGGATTTCACTTCACCACAGGGATTCTGGAGGAAGTTTGGGGGTTGGGTTCCGTTAGCATCTAACTAATAACCCTGACGGCTCAGAACACAGATTTATTTGGGGCCCAGACAGGAAAGCAAGAGCTATCCTCGATATTTTCTAGTTCTTTTAAGGTGTCACGGAGTCGACTCTGACTCCTAGGAACCTCATGCACAACAGAATGAAATGTTGCCCGGTCCTGTGCCATTCTCACGGTCATTGCTGCATCTGAACCCATTATTGCAGCCACCATGTATCAACGCAACTCATCGATAGTCTCCTCCTTTTTCACTGAACCTTTACCAAGCACGATGTCTTTCTAGTGATTGATGGATCCTTCCTGATCGCATGCCCAAAGCAAGAGACACGAAGTCTCACCATCTTCCCTTTTGAGGAGCATCCTGGCTGTACTTCCCTCAAGACAGGTAGATTTGCTTCCCTGGCAGTCCACGATGCAGTCCGTCCTCTGTGCCCACACAATTTGAACGCATCAGTGCTTCTTCAGTCTTCCTTTCTATTGTCCGCATGAGGCCAGTGAAGATCCCATGGCTTGGTTTAGGTGCACCTTAGCCATCTGTGGAGTTCCATAATCTCCTGTCAACTTGAGCAAAGGGGTGGAGTCTAGCTTGTCAATCATGCCTCTGTGTGGGCATGGCCTTCTCCTGAGGATTCTGGGAACTCCTGTCTTCCTCCGTGGAGGTGGAACACACGCTCTCTCTGCTTCACATTCCTGTTGGTAAGCCAGATGGAGCTATGCTGATGGCAGCCAGAGTCCTGGAGCTGGAGGAGCCATGTGGAGACCCACGCCAGCGCTGGGATGCTTCCACCCACCGCCACAGGAGCCACAAGACTTTCCACCCACTGGCCTGTGATCTTCCTGCACTTGGTGCGAGTCATTGCATGTGCTGTGTGAGTCTGAAGAGGAATTTATAGACTGGTATCGTATGTATGGGCTAATATCGGACTTATGGGCTTGATCTGGACTGTGCTGGGATGTTTTCTTAATATACAATTACTCTTTGATATAAAGCTCTTTCTTATACATGCATGAGTGTCTCTGGATTTGTTTCTCTAGTCAACTCGGACTAACACACCATCCAAGTGACTTCTTGACATTTTAACAGGGATAATTTCGTCTTGGCTTTCATTTGCCACTTACTCAAGTGAGCTACCTAGAAACTTCTTCCCGCTCCTCCAGGGATGGCCGGAAGCAAAGTCTGGTATCAACTTCTAGAGGTTCCAAAAAGAGAGCAAATGTTGACTTGACCTTGGGCTTGTACAGGCATAGACTGGTCCCTGGCAAACCACACCCGTGATGAGTTTCCTACAAAGGGCAGATCTGCTCGGGGATTGGAAATGCTGCTAATATCAGCCCCCCACCCCCACCAAGAAAAACAACAACAAACCCACACCATCCAGAAATGAAACCTATAGCTAGGAATATATTCCACACTGCTTTTCTGGCACGGGCCTGTCTCTCAACAGAGCTCTCTCTTTCAGCCTGGGGCCCTCCTTCCATTCTCCTCTCCTCCATCTCCAGCCCTTCCACCCGCTCACCTTCACCCAGTTTCCCCTCCCACCTCTTTTCTCCCTTACCTCCACCCTCCAGGCACCCACCCAGCTTCTTTCTTTGCATTAGGCTCTCTTCCTGGGGCTTCAGACCTCCCTTCCTGCCTCCGGGCCTCCAGTGTTCCTGGGCCCCTGTCTGTTCTCTTTCACTTCCCATCAGGGAATCCTAAATGCTGAATAGGCCCTTCTGACCAGGCCCTGAAGGGGACTTGGCTGGGGCCAGGGAGGGGCTGGGGACCTGCGGAGGCCACACAGAAGCCCATTGATGAGGCAGCCCCCTCCACACAGTCAACCCAATCCCAGTCGCCCTAGCTCTGGGCAGAGAGAGGCGTCCCTTGAGGCAGTGGCCAAGATCCTGGCCACCATGAATGACCTCAGTGTCTACAGCTGGCAGAGGACCTTCACTCTGTAGCCTGCAAATCCTCCAGGCCTATCAGCCCCACCATCGGTGCGAATAGATTCATCTGGAAAATAATTTGTCAGTGCATCTCCATCAGCCGTGCTGATTTCATTAATTGGAAGAATGAGCTCTTTGTAGCCAATGGGAGACTCTGGAGCCAGAACACATGCAGCGGCTTTCCCCAGTGACCCAGAGACCCTTGGACGAACTCCTGGGTGCCATGAAAATGGATCGTTCTACAGAAAGAATATCATTGGATGTTTATTTAACATCACATCCAAAAAAAAAAGACCTTGGGATCGTTCTCACATCTGGCTGCCTTTCTTCCCTCACTTTTTTCCCTGCAGAGCCAGGACAGGCAGGAAGCGCCATCAGTCTGAAAGCATCCAGCAGCGAAGTGTCAATGCAGTAGGCCTGGAGGCCTGGGACCGGGGGTCTTCATCCTGGGTGGGGGGTGGAAGAGTAAAGGCACTGTGCTCTTAAACTACACCCCACCTCCCTCCACCAATACGAGCAGAGCTGGTTCTGAACACCGCTTCTACCATAAGAGCTGTGTGACCCTGGGCGAGCCTCGGTCTCCTTACAGGTGAACTGTGGGAAGAACACACACTCTTAGCACCGCTGGAAGATTAAAGCGGACAATGGATGTTGAGCGGATCATCGGTGCATGGCAGACATTGATTGATAGGAGCTGCTATTATTGTTGCTGGGATCAAAACCAGAGCAGAATCCTAACTGGCCATGAATCCTCTGTTTCTACCCCTCAGAGACACGGCGTTGCTGGCCCCAGTCAGAGAGACAGATGGGCCAAAGCACACCCAATGGGAGAGACAGATGGACAACAAATGATGATCAAGGGGATGGGATAGAATGACAAGCCCGTGGAGTGATTGACAGATGGAACGTCTCCTGGGGAAGGCAGATTTATGACAATCCAAAGAGAGACACCGAGGGAAAGTGCTGTCCTGTGGGAGGACAGATGGATGAGGGTCCCACAAGGAGACCGAAAGAGGACAGTCCAAAGTGGAAGACAGATGGATGGCAAATTCATAGTGGGGGTGGGTGGGGGTGGGGATGGGCAGCACTGAGATTGGGACCCGAGACCACCTGCGGTTGGTGGGGCCTGGGCTTCCTGTTTGGTCTCTATTCCTCAGGTCCAAACATCCCTGAATGTGTAAGAGCCTTCAGGGCTCGGTGGGTATGAGAGGAGAGATAGATAAATAGGAATTACTGCTAACTTGCTATGTGACCTTTCCCAAATCCCTTAACCTCTCCGGGTCTCAATTTTGGAGAGAGAGAATGAACTGGAGGGAAGACTCCACGTGGCCTGAGAGGACACCAGGGTCAGTCTGACCTCTGTTTATTCCCTTCTCCCAAAGCCCCCGCCCCTTCTGCCCCGGGGTCCCACAGACAAAGGGTCAACCGTGAGGAAAAAGCAAAGGAGGAAGAGGAGGAGGAGGAGGAAGAGAGAGAAAACAGCTTTTAGGAAGAAAAAAGTGGGGGAGGGACGAAAACTGACTAAAAGTTTTATTTACTTAAAATAAAGGTTCCGTTGTGCTTGACTGGAAACAGGCAGGCCCATCCCTGCCTCTTTGTGCCAAAGGGCTCGGGCCACCCAGCAAGCAGAGGCAGAGGGCAGGGGAGGTCGTGGGGAGGGTGGGCCCAGGGGGCTCCAGGTGCAGGGAGAGCATGGCAGGCACTCAGTTATCTCCAGAGCTGGTCCTGGACACACTGGCTCTCCCTCCCACCACCGTGGGCCAGCTGACATCAGCACTCCCCCAGCCCACGCATGCTCACGGCGGAGGGCGACCACAGACACGTAGGCACCCGCGGAGGAGCGGAGTCTGCAAGGCGCAGAGACTCAGGTGCTCTCTGGGTCTCTCAGCCTCTCTCTGGGTCTCTCTGTCACTTGGCGATGGCACCACGGGCCGGAGGAGGTGGGTGGAGCTCCAGCGATGACTCAATCATTATTTGAGGACAAACTCCTTACCTGCCTTTTGTCCCATGTCTTTTCGGGTTCCACCTGACTTCCTTCCCTGTTTTTCTGCGGACTGAGCTGTTTGGGTGGCCTGGGAGATCCTGGGCGTCCCTGGAGGAGGGGGCGGGGAAGTGGCTTCAGGAGGATCTGGAATCAAGAGGGTTCACTGCTTTGAAGGTTCTTTGTAAGGAGGTTGCTGGGCCCCTCTGTTGGTGGCCCTACTGGCCTGAGAAGGGCCGTGGTATGCAGAGTCTGGAGGGAATGGGCAGGAAATGTTTGCGATAAGAGGCTTCCCTTTTGCAAACTGCCCTCCCTCCGAGCCCCAGCTGCAGGGTAAAGGTCCAGGAGCTTAACCTGGTGGGGCTGGTAGGGAGCTTCCCGGAGCCTGTGAAGGCTGTTGCCAGAGTCTGCCTTTGGGCCTACAGCAGGGAGGGCTGCGATCACAGGGACCCCCGGGGATCAAAATGGCCCCGGGAACCCGGCCAAGGCTGCCTTCCTTTGGGATCAGGAATTCCAATCTGACTTCACAAGGTCAAATCAATCCTTGAAGAAAAACAACCCCCTCTTGGCTGGCTTGGTTCCTGTGAAGTTGCCCCACGTGGGGGCTGGGAGCACAGAGCGAACATGTAACTCCGGCCCTAACTCCAGGGGAGTGAAGCCGGGCTCCAGGTTGGTGCCAGTTGGAGCCTTTCATTCATCTTAACCAAGACACTCTGAGGAGGCGAGGTTATACCGGCAGGAACCAGGCTGGAAGCTCGGAGAGGAAATCCAACCCAAAGGCGTCTTCAGCTGAGGACTGAAAGCTCTCAGAAACAGGCGTGCTTGTGGCCCAGGGCGCCTGGGGCACCCTGACATCGCTGCCACCACCCAGCCACTCCACCGGCTGTGGTTGACTGGGCCAGCTCACAGAGGAACTGGAAGTGCTGCTAACGAACACCCCCGGGTGGGGGGGGAGCCTCCAGGCTGCCTCCCGCTATTGTACCCACGACCTTTCTGGAGGATTAGCGGCTTGCATCTCTCCCCAGGGGCTGCGCTGTAAATGCCAGTGTAATGCTAATTTGTGGTTGGCAGGAGATTGATTGGGAAGAAGCTAAACAATGGTTAGAGGAGGCTTTGGTCCTGCTGCCCCGGGGAGTGGTTGGTGAGTGTACAGTGTGTCTTCTTTGAGGAAAGTAGCAACCAGCCTGAGAAAAGATGAATGGAGGCCAGCATGAGGAGGACGGTCCGAATTGGAAGGAGGCCGTTCTGGAGCCTGGAAAGCAGAATTCTGGGAGATTTTTTGATGGGAGACCAAGGGGGCACTATCAGGTAGAGCTGCCTGGAGTTTGTTTCAGCCTGAACTGGAGAGTGAACCTTAGAGACTAGAAATGGCAAAGACTTGGCTTTCGTTAGGTTGTGGAATGGCTGGTCTGGGGAGGATCTCAGGGCTCTGGGCAGGGCTGGGGTTCCACTCAAGAATAAGCGTTGAGAAGGGTTCCTGGGGGGTTGGGTGGGAGAGGGAGGGGATAAAGGGGAACATTAGAAAAAAAAAGAATAAGCATCGCTGTTGGTTGCCACGAAGTTGTCTTGGACTCTTTGGACCTCCTGTAGAACGGACCGGAACCGAACACTGCTCGGCATGGTCCCGCCCCACCTTCATGGTCGCTGATAAGTTTGAGGCCATTTTTGCGGCTATTGTGTCCGTCCACCTCACTGAGGGTTTCCTGCGTTTCCAGCAGCCCTCTCCCAACTTGATGTGCTTTCGGGAGATCGGTCTTTCCTGAGGACACAGCCGAAGTAGGCCAGTGGCAGTCTTACCAGCCGCTTCTTGTAAGGAGCATTCTGCTTGCGTTTTTTCTCAGACGGATTTGTTCCGTCTCTTGGAAGTCCACATTTAGATTTAATATTCGTCCCCCAACACCCCGGTTTGAATGCATCGTGAATTCTGTTTCTGCTGTTGTCAGGAGCTGTTGAGTCAGTTCTGATCCCTAGCGACCCGATGTACAACCAAACCAGACACCGGCCAGTCCTGCAGCATCCTCACAGCTGTTCTCCGTCCTGCAGCGTCCTCACAGCTGTTCTTGTGTTCGAGCCCATCACTGCAGCCACTGTGTCAGTCCATCTTGTCGTGGGTCTTTCCTCTGTCCTCTGCCACTCAAATAAACACGAGGTTCTTTGCCAGGGACAAGTCTCTTCGGATAACATGTCCAAAGTCCATGAGATGAAGTGCTGCCAACATTGCTTCTAAGGAAAGGTGGCCAGATTTTAACATTGGTAAAGCGGGACACCATTGCTAAAGCGCATATCCTGGCGAAATAGCCACATGGCAGCCGAAAACCATATACCCTAGCTTGTCGTGCATTCTTTCCAAAAATCGGGACTTTTTAAAAACACGCGCGCGTGCGCGCGCAGAACATGAGAAAAATTGTTAAAAATCAGGACTGTCCTGTCAAGAGCGGGACGTCTGGTCACCTTATTCTAAGGGGCATTCTGGTTGGACTCCTTCCAAGACCGATTTCCTTGTTCTTTTGGGAGTTCGTGGTCCTTCCGACATTCTTTGCTCACACCACAATTCAAATGTGTCGATTCCTCTTCCGTCTTCCTTAGTCAGCATCCAACTTCCACAGGCAGGTGAGGCCATTGGAAATACCTAGGCTTGGGCCAGGCTTAACTTAGTCCTCAGAGTAAACTCCTTGCTTTTCAACACTTTAAAGAGGTCTCTTGCAGCACATTTACCCAATGCAATGTGCTGTTGGATCTCGTGGCTGCTGCTTGTGGACTGTGGCTCCAAGCACTGGTTGTGGCTCCAAGCAAGATGAAATCTGAAACAACTGTAGCCGTCTCTCCATTTGTCGTGGTGTTACTTATTGGTCCAGTTGTGTGGATTTTTATAGTTCCCTCTTAATGAATATTTATGCCACATGGAGTACTATGCAACGGCCTTAATTCACATTAGCCCTATCGGGTGACTAGATCTCTGAAGAGTGTCTGATAGCTATGTGAAGTGGGGAGCGCTCCTGTTTTACCTTGAAGCCAAGTCTTGGAGGGATTCAGCAGCTGCATGCTGGTCACAGAACCAGCAAGGCAGAAAAGCCTGGCAGACACAACATTCTGCTCTGGGGCACACATGGCACCTGCCTGCCGATTGCACTGGGAGGCTCTCACACTCTGGTGTGGGTAACCTTCTGGTGAGCTCCGTGGGACTCTGGTCTTGGCCTAAAGCACTAGGGAGCCCCAAAACCTCTACGAGCAAGGTGGGAGGGCCAGTCACTTGCACCCATGCCCGAGGGACTTCCGTTCAAGGATGATGAGATCACAACAGTTCTGCTGCCCCTTCTCCTTGGACAGCTGTGACCTCTGTGAGACTCGTTCGAACCAGAATGATTAAAAATGAATGTGCACGAATGGAGACTAGCCCAGGCCCACGGAAGACCTGCAGCCTGAATGAGCAATGACAGGGCTGCGTGTTGAGAAATGAAAACCAGCCAGGAAAACCTCTGCCTGGGCTCCAGGAAGCAGCGTCACATTATAACATGAATTGGATAGTCTCCCATCCAGGCCATACGTGTTGATTGACTGATTGATGATTAGTGGAATATTGTTGTAGCTGTTGGCTGCTGTCAAGCTGGCCCCTGGGGCACGGGAAGTCCATGCACAATGGAACAAAACGCTGCCCAGTTCTGGGTCATACTGACACTATGGGCTGGGGGTTGTACTCTTAGGACCCACAAAGTTTTCATCAGCTGATTAGCAGAAGTAGATCGTCAGGCCTGTCTCAGTCTTCTGTCTTAGTCTGGAAGCTCCACTGAAATCCGTTCAGCACCCTAGCACCAGGGAAGCCTCCCCTGACAGATGAATGGTGGGTGGCTGAGCATGGGGTGCATTGGCCTGGAATCGAACCTGCGTCTCGCATGTGGGAGAGAGGATTCTACCCCTGAGTCACCAGTGCCAAGTCTTAGAATGGTCTGGCAGCCCTGGTCCTAAAGCAACCCCGTCCCTCTAGGGTTGCCATCTGGCCACCCATACTGAGTCAGGCTCACAGAAGCAGAGCGGAGCACCCAGAGCCTGCTCAAGGACTGGAGGCTTCTAGCTGGTTATAGGAGCCTCCTTGTGTGCCCTGCTCTTCTTCCAGCTCTGGGATCTCAAACCCAAGTTACATACTTTTGTCTCCCCACCCATTTCTCTGGCTTCATCAAGCTTGGTTTGCTTTGGCTGAACTGGAGGGCCATGCAGGGGATCTTCTCTTCCTCTGGAAGTTGAATGATGCCCTAAACTCCAGGCTCCTTGCAAACACGGCCCCTGCTTGTTTGCCTTCATGTTCCTAGTGCCTGACAGGCGCTCTGTGAACACTTGTCGATGGAGTGAATTGTAAAAGCTCACCTTCCAAGAAAAGGGGGGGTGTTGAAGCCAGAATCGCTTCATTCCTCAAATAGAATCCCCAATGGAAGAATCCAAGGACCCAGGGACCTGCCCCCCAGTGAGGTTGCCTTGGCTTTGGGGATGTGCCCCCAAATCATTCCGGTGGGTCTTTCCCCTCTGGCACCACAAGGGTTGAGCGAGCTCTCTCTGGGTGCGGCCAGCAGGTGGGAGAGCTGGGAGACTCCTGCTGGCTCCCTGACTGCATCTCCTGAGGGCGTGAGGTCTTGCCTGGTGGTCAGATCTTTCCACTCCCTGCTCACCTGCTTGGTGGAGGATCTGATTTCTCCGTGCATTTGTTTACCCCCCCACCCACCCCCACCCCGCAGATGGGTGCTTCTGCCTGACCACATCTGGGAGCCATTCGCCTTGGTGGCTGCTTGAGGAAGGAAGGAATATCATTTGTTTCTTTGGCATCTGCTGCCCTTGGCAGCCAGTGGTTACCTTGATCCCCTCTTAAACTTCTTACTCCCTCCGTCTTTCTGACTCCTTGGGGGCTCTTTCCATTCCCTAACGGGGCGGCGGCGGCATCACCTTCCTGGATACGGCTCCTTACACGTTCCTCGTGGCAGCCGCTTGTTGTTCTCAGGTGCCATCTGCATGGTTCTGACTCTTATTGGCCTTACGTACATCACCCGGGCCAGCGTCACCCTCACAGCTGCTCTTAGGTGTGAGCCCCTGGTTGCACCCTTGTGTCAATCCACCCCCTTGAGGGTCTTCTTTTCCTATATGTTACCAAGCATGATGGCCTTCCCCAGGGACTGCCTCTCCTGAGAACATGTCCAAAGTACGTGAGAGGGCCTGTCGATGCTGTCTGT